ATCCCTTCCTTGCTTTGCTTTCTGGCCTCACTTCCAGCACATCCTCCAATGCAACCCATCCAGTCATAGCTTTTAGAAGTTGCCAGAAAAACATACGTCCTCTCATGTGTTACACATAATTTTTTCTCCACCTGATAATCTCTCCACATTCATAAACATTCAGTTCAACTTTTCTGTCTCTCTAAGTTCTTCCTACATTTCCCTCAAATCAGAATTAGACTTCCCATTTTCCCCCCATGGCATTTAGTGCCTCCCTCTATTGGAAACTTGATCACATTTTTGGGCAACTCTTTATTAATTAGAATTTCCTAGGATGTGCCAAAACTGTGCTGAAAGTTTACATAGACTCTATCAGAACAGAAAGGTTAAGTACATGTCCAGGGTAATGCAGCCAGGAAACGAAGGGCCTGTCATCTAAAAGTCTAAGGTCTTTTAAAAGTACACTGTACTACTTTTCTAAATATTGTGGATTCTTCCAGTTTACTTTTCTGCTTCCAGAACTCTCATTGCATCTTAAGCTCATTGACTCAGATTTAATGAAGACAGCATAGTCTCTGAAATCAGGCAGACCTGAGTTTTAGCCCTAGCTCTTGGCTTTAACATTTGCTAAGAATATAACCTTGAGTAAGAATTTAACCTTTAGATGAGTTTCTTAGTATAGCTCAGATTTTCTGTAGATCAACTGATGTCTACATAGGGCTTTTGCACTATTTCTGGCACCTTAGTGAGGGTTCATAAACATGAGGAATCTTCCAGTGCGAGCAGGGATTTTGCTTTGCTCACTTTTATTTCTCCAGCACCCAGACAGTACATGGTAGGTGCTCATTATATAACTACTTGAGTGTGAATAATCTATTGAAAAGCCCATGCCTGAGCAAACTTGCTCTTTCCAAGTTCCTTTTCCCAACTGAAGGCATTACCAACCTTCTGAAGACTGCAGCTTCTTTTTAGAGCATTCAGGTGTCGAACTTGGGGACAGCCTTGACCTGAAATACGTGCCACCCTCCCACTCCCCCCACCCCAGGCAGCCGGGGAGTGTGTCCATGTCCACTTTGCTCTCTCTCTTGCTCCTCTGCTCTCTTTTTTATGGTTGCACTGCAGTCCAGCCCCATCTCACCTGGCTTTCTGAAAGGCCAGTCTTTAAACTAGCCTCAGCTCCTGCCTTTCCTGGTCCAGAGCAACAAATCACCCCCTGACTCTCACTCCCAAAAATGTGCCTTTTCTAAAAGTGTCATACCGGATGATACTATTACTTATTATACATTGGTGATGAGTTAAAAAAAAAAAAAGTCACTGTAATTGTAAATATATATATATATTCGATATCTCAAGCACTTTATTTGATATGCCCCAACCTGACTTCTGTTCTTATCCACCTCTCCACTCCCAAGTTTGTACCCCCAAACAGCTCAGCAATGTGTGCTTTATACCCACAGACTCTTGGACACCATTTTTCTACCTACTAATCTATATCTACCTATATTTATCTCTTCTCATTGAAAAACCTCCACAAAGCCCCCTTTATTCCTTGATTCATTGACTCTCTGGGGCCATATTCTAACACCCTGTGTGAATGTTTTGAGTACAAGGTTGTATGGCTCTTCATCTGGGGATTCCCCACAGCACCAGGGCCTTTCCCATAGCAGAACTGAGCTGACTTCACAGGGTTAGAGATTTGGGAAGTTGTGAGGAATCTTAGAAATCTTCTGGTATGATACCTTCATTTAATGTATTAGTAAATTGCAGTTCAGAAAACTGAAAATATTTACTTAAATAGCACAAAAGCAATAAAATCAAGCGTGTGTGTGTGTGTGTGTGTGTGTATCTTTGGTTTTCTCAGCTAGTAATAACCTTTTGAATTTTTCATTCTGATGTAGCAGGATCTTTTACCTCTGCCTTTACAAATGCTCCAAAGAGAAGCTCCAGTAATTGTTTCCTATAATAGGAGGTATATCACAAGTCATAATTATAAAATGGTTCAGAGGACCAGACACTCAGGATTAAAAGTGAAAGTGCCAGTCCTACCATTATTAGACACATTTTTATTTTTATTTAAAAAAAATTTTTTTTAGAGAGAGAGGGAGAAAGAGTGGGGGGGTGGGCAGGAGAGGGAGAGCGAGAATCTCAAGCAGGCTCCATGCTAAGGACCTGAGATCATGACCTGAGCTGAAATCAAGTTGGATGCTCAACTGACTGAGCCACCCAGGCGCCCCAGCCACACTTTTATTCTTGACTGTTTTGTCTTCAGCATTGTCGATTATCATTTCTATTATTTATGAATACACAAAATCTGCTGCAGCCCCCACTTGCCTTCCTTGCTAACCAACTCCAAAACACTTTCCCTTTTGGTACATCTTAAAGAGAGGTATGACAGGAGGAGATATCTATAGATCTATATCTACATAGAGGGATAGAGATATACAGAGAAAGATCATTTAGATTTGTAAAAAAATGGGGGTTTTTATTAACTGGAAAAATAGAAATTAAAAAAAAATACCCGGATTCCTATCTTGGAAAAATATAATTATGTTATCTGTCGTCCTATTAGCCAAGGTGTCATCATGGTGGTGAGATGAACCAGAAAACTTTTCCTACATCTAAACCGAGGGTGGCATTACATCACGTGAGAGCTCAAATCTTTCAGTTTTGAGAAGAATAAAAGTTGCTATTCTCTCTGTACATCAAGCAGAGCTTCACTCGTTGCCCAACTAGGTGATGACTTCCATGATTTGGTGGGTTTTGAAATCTTAATTTAACTTAAATTCAGCTTGAATTTTATGTGGCCCCTTTTATTATCTAATAAGAGAAATGGAATGATACTATTTACAGCCTTGGTTTTTACACTGACAGAAAAGACGAAAAGAAAAACATTTCAAATCCCACTTGACTCGCAAGACCGAAGTCTTTGACACCAAAATGACAAATGTATGATTTGTGTAATCCAATTACTCATGATTAGGTTGTTTTCTGTCATAACACTGTGGTGCAATGTAACGGAAAAGTGGGTAAATACCAACAACCACAGAAAGATGCGACATTAAAAGCAAACCTCAGAACTTAAAAAGAAAACACTCTGAAGTTTTAGCAGGGATGATGAAATGTCCTTTACAAATTACAAATTCAGGTAATTGGTGATATGTTGTATAAGGAGGCTTGAAGGGGTAAAGATAGTGCATATTTAAAAAAAAAAAAAAGTCTAACCAGGTGGGGCCCTTGCAAGAATTCCACTTAATCTATGCCATTCTTCTCTTTTCCCAAATGTTACACTGGGTAAACATAGGCACTTGTTGTATTTTTTTGTAAAATGTAATGGGAAACACTGCTTCAGTTCCCTTAATCTTTAAGGAGAATCTTTCCCTGTAATGATTGCTGAGAAGCTTAGTATGAACTCATCTGACCCTATTTTCCAGGCTTTAAAATGGTAGGATCCAACCAATAGCACCCAAAGAACTGTAAAGATTTAAAACGGTTCCTCTCACTGTTTAATGAATTCGTGGATTGAGGCTGCTGTGTAGATCAGTAGACCTCAAGCCATGCGGAGGAATCCGAAACCTGTCCTTCGTGGCTACCACAGTCGCACTCTGGGGGTGCGGTACAGACTCCATCCAACGCCGCCTGGTGAAATGAATTCACGGTGCCCCTGGGGAGGAAGGGACACCAGAGCCCCGAAACTTTCTAGGATAATCGGTCAACACAACCCTTGACCACACCAGCGCAGCGCTTAAGTCTTCTGGGGGTGACCTGGAGCCGGTGAATATTCCAGAGCCCCAGCCAAGAAAAGGTGCGCCTGAAAAATACCCCAGGTTCCTCTCAGACCCTGTGCCCCTGCCCCAAGCGCTGTCCTTGCCATCCTCCTCCGTCAGCCCCTGAACTGTGTCGGTCATCCTCCGGAAGTGGGCCACAGCACAGAGGCAAAGTGTCTTCCAGACGGGCTGCTGGAAAGAAAGGGGCCTTCAGTCACTCTTCCTGCTCTGCACTCCCCGCAGTTCTTACTCCCTAGTCCTGCCTCGAGCCTTTCAAACAACGGACGGGAGCCTCCCCTGAGTTCCCATTTCTCAAGCTCTTCTCCATCCCGCTCATTACCCTAAACTTTGCATTTAAATGAACTTTTCGGTCCTCCCTCTCTTTCCTGGGACGTTACCTCTGCCCGGGGTTTCTTCCCAAGCCTTTCCTCCTGCAATTCTTTCCTCCTCGATCCCAGTCTCTTAGACCTGCTCGAGCTGCCCTTTGCCTCCTTGTCTCCTCCTCTCCCCCCCTGGGCCCCTTCACCTCATCCATTCCTGGCTCAGGCTCTCCAGATTCCCGGGCTGTTCGCTGGTGAGAAATCTTTGCTGCAGCGAGGACCGGAGTCCCCCGCGCGCAGCCCGGCGGCAGAAGAGGGCGAGGCTGGGAGAAGGGCGCGGGCTGCCGGGGAGGGAGGCAGCCGGTCCTCCCCGCGAGCCTGCGAGAATGCGGCAGGGGCCCGGGGCCGGGGGAGCCGCTGACTCCCCGAGCCCCTGATCCGGGCTTGCACACCCCGCTCGCGGGGCCAATTTCCTGCCGAGTGCGGCGGAGAGGGGGGCGCAGGGGGTGCCCGTCCCCGGAGTAGGGCCCTCGGCGAGCCGGGGGACAGGAGAGGAGGGAGTGGGCGAGCGGTGAGCAGGGAAAGCCCGGCTCCAGCCTGGCGGCGAGCGTGCGGAGAGCGGGGCGCGCGGGGGCGAGGGGCGCGCGGGGGCAGCGCTGCGCTCGGGGAGGGGCGCGCGGGTGCGGGCGTGCGGCGGCCGCGGCGCCGTGTCGGGGTGTGCGCGAGGGCGAGCGGCGGGCCGGGCGCACGTCTCGTCCCCGCGAGCAGCCGCTAGACGCGCCGCCACCATCTTCTGCATGTGCAGCCTTTGCAGCCGGACGGGAAACCGCTCCCGGGGCGATGGAGACTGCGGGGAAAATCCGGCAGCCCGCGATGGATTGCTGAAGGGGGGCGGTCGTGACCCCCAGCGTCCTCACCTCTCTCCTTCCCTTTTTTCTTTCTTTCTTCTTTCTTCTTCTTCTTCTTCTTCTTTTTTTTTTTTTTTTTGTTGTTGCTTTTAATTTTAGCGCCATCGTCGTCAATGCCTCTCTGAACAGCCTTTAGGAAGAGAGAGAGAGAGAGCGCGCGCCAGGGAGAGGAGACAAGAAGATGAGGATTATTTGCAGACAGATTGTCTTGTTGTTTTCTGGGTTCTGGGGACTCGCCATGGGAGCCTTTCCGAGCAGCGTGCAGATAGGTAAGCTCTGCCCGCTGGGGTGTGCATGTGGGTGCTGTCAGGGCAGGTACCCGAAAGTGAGTTAAATGAGTTGCGGGTGAGCAAATCGGGGAGACCTTCGGCGGCTCCCTGCCCTCGCCCCTGTGCAGAAGACTGCCTCTCCGGGGCTGGTTCAGTTGCACTGTGCACACCCTGCCCGCCCGTCCCCCCTCGTCCGTGCTCCCACTGCTACCTTTGGTTCAAGTCGCTTAAGTGGGGTTGGAATAAGTTGGGGAAAAAAAAAAAAACCTCCGTGGGGTCTGATTACATTGAATGTGCTATTTCTTCTCATTCCTCTCTCCAGAGCGTGAAGGGCTGTCGAGTTTGTTGGGGTTTTTAAAAATCATTGTCCTGTATTTTAAACACATTTCTTCCCATGCTGGACCTCTCAGCTTTCTGGCCATTCCAGAAAGACACTGGGCAAAAAGCGTTTCCACCCGCACCCCCTTGTCTTTCCCGCTGCCCGTTAACCGATTCCAAAGTTAGATCGCTTTCCCGGAAACCTTCTCTCCTTTTATTTTGTTTTCCTCTTGAGTCTTTTGCCCACATTCCTCCCGCTGGACTCCACTGCCAGCGACCCTACCCATCCGTGGCTTTCCTTGCTGTTCTCTCCTGTCTTTTTATGGGACGCAGCTATTGAATTTCTTCCAGCTAAGCCCAGCCTCAACACTGCATCATTTCTCGTGGACTGTGCACAAAACGGGGCTAATTAGGCTGAGTCCACAAGCTGCAGGAAAACAAAGTTCAAGTCTCCTTTCCCATTCCCCTCGGCCCTTAGTGTCACCACGTCCCTTTATTTCTGCATTTTAATGCAGACCCTCTCTTCTGTTCATCTGCATGCCTCTTAGAAATGCCCCGAGCTTGGCTGATGTAGCAGTGTGCTGGGAATCATGGGGAGGGCAAGAGAGAGGAAGGAAAACGCGCTCAATGGTCTCAGAGGTCATTGTGATCATGACAAATTGGGACAGGAAAGCACTGAGCTGTCCTAAAGACTGAAATACTAAGCATGCACCTTAGGGACAAAGGGCAGTCTCAAGCTGTGGCAGGGAGGGCTTCTTAATTGTGTGTGTTGCTGAATGGCAGTGGATTTGACAGTGCTTGAGGGTGGGTATTGCATTTCCAAGAGGAAACACCGAATGTGCTTTTCCTGCTGTTTTTAATAGGTGGTCTCTTCATCCGAAACACAGATCAGGAGTACACGGCTTTTCGATTAGCAATTTTTCTTCATAACACCAGCCCCAATGCGTCGGAAGCTCCTTTTAATTTGGTACCTCATGTGGACAACATTGAGACAGCCAACAGTTTTGCTGTGACAAATGCTTGTAAGTAAAACCTAAGTTGTGGATAAATTAGAAGAGAATTAAATTGAAGCAATAGAGTCCCCTTCCTCTCCTTTATTATATTAAGAGTGGTTTTTGAAAGAAATACAAGATTCCCACAGTTGACTGGTTCCAGAGCAAGTCAGAGTTAAAAAAAAATAATAAAATAAGGGAATATTCAGCTGGTCTTTGTTTCTCCCTTCCTTCCTTCCTTCCTTCCTTCCTTCCTTTCTTTCTTTCTCTTTCTTTCTTCTTTTCTTTCCTTCCTTCCTTCCTTCCTTCCTTCCTTCCTTCCTTCTTTCCTTCCTTCCTTCCTTTTCTTTCTTTCTTTCTTTCTTTCTTATTTATTTATTTATTTTCATTTCTTGTCCGGATAATTCAAGTTGATTTCTCCTGCAACATTTCGGTGGTATTCCTGTTACCTGAATGTCAAGTTAGTGGAAATTTTACTCCATCTAGTTTTTTATTCTGTTCCTTTGTGTCTTCATATTTGCTTTTCACTTGAGGAAGGCTATGCCTTGCTTTTAAGGAAGAGACATGCTCTCCTGCACTGGGGAAGGTGAAGGAAGCCTTGCTGAGAGTGAGGCAGAGGGGAGCGCTGGTGTGGAGGATGTGTGTTCTAGTCGGTTGGTTGGTGCTGCAGATGATCTGGTGATGCCACTTGGGGCTGCCCTGCTCTTGTATTCTGGGTTGTAAGTGTCTCTTACTGTCACGTAATGCATGTATCCTGTGGGTGGAACTCCATGAATCCTTACCTTGGTGCCGAACCATGTTAGTCCTCAATCCGCCTGAATTCACAAACCAACCTGGCTTGCTCTGTCATCCCGCACACTGACACTAAACAGGTGACCTCCCCTAATGCTGTAATGGGATGGTTGCACCGTACTCCCTCACCGAAATACCATATAACTTAATGTAAAAATATCATCAATGACAGATTAATCTGAAACTCTCTAAAATGTAACTAATCAGTAGAGTGTTCACATAGCACTTTCACTCTTGAAACACGTGTTTCAAGTATCCCCTCAGCTTTACGTGCTCATTTACTACTATTCAAAATCTTTGTGAAGATAATGGCCCTAGATTATGTAAGAGACATAGGAACAGTTTCTATATACAATTTTGCATAACAGTAGTAACATGTTTAATTTGAATTGTATTTTTAAAGTCCTGTCAGTACAAGAAAGTACACTGAACAAGTAAGTGATATTGAAAACAAAGAGTTTTTAAATATTTGGAGGATATCTGCATCATTGATTTAATTATTTTAATTCATATTTATTTGCCATTAACTCATCTAACAGATACCATGATCGCTTTTCCTAAATTGTTGGCATCCAAGTACTACTTTGTTTGAGATCTTGGTTTCCTGAGGAGGTCCAAGCATTTGACATTTTGTAAACTGCCACAGTTGTATTACTTTGCAAGAATTCTGTAGTTGCTATGAGTACTATTTAATTAGGAAAAATCATGTGTTGTATTTAGTGATAAAATCTACATTATAGCAGAAGGGAGTGACTTTTAAGCAGAAACATACATGAATTAGAGCTATCTTTGTGGATAGTTATTTTTGCAGATTTTATCAACTGTTAGTTTTGTGTTTAAAGTTTTGAAAGGGATGTCAACATTGCAAGTAGTTCTAGATATAAAGTATTCTGCTTAGTACCTGAATATGTTTATTTTTTAAATAGTGTTTTCATGTCTCTCCTGAGATTCTATCAGCAAAACATTACTAAGTTTAAAAATAACTCATGATCCAAATATATGTGATTGTACTTTGTCAACAGTAAACTATTTAAATATTAATCTTTATTACTAAATTTTGACTTTCTTAAAAGTGGAAGATATATTAGTTTTATGTTGTCTTACTTTTACAAATTAAGTTCTTAAGTATTCTAAAGTTTATATTGTGACTTCCAGCTACAGAAACTATAAAGCGCTGATCTTTTCTTCCTCCATATCATTTGTTAATCTCCTTCAGGATAATGTTAATGAGCATTATTTTATTTATGTGATGAAAATATTATATGAAGTGTTAGTGGTAAAGTACCTGTACACATGAGAAATTGACAAGAAGCTGCACACAGAATGAAAAAGTAGAAGGTATAAAATATAGGTATGTTATTAACATGTTAGGATTGAGAAAGTTGAAACTAGGTAAACTTTGAGACTACTGATTTTGAACCCAAGTGTAATACAGTGTTCACAATATCATATTTTTCCATAACCACAAGTAATTGATTTTGTGTATATTTATAAAATATTTTTTATAAAGACATAAATTGTAAATGAGGAAGAAACATTTTCTTCACTTGAAGAAAAGGCCTTTTTTTTTTTTTTTTTTTTTTTTTGACAAATGAGTGTGCCAAAATGTCCTCAAGGCAAATCTAAACAGAATTTGGGGAAAAAATCAATTGGGTCAGGGGATTGGTTTTGTTGGGTCAGGGGATTGGTGTTTGTTGAGTAGACTGACTGGGAGTGTATACATGTGTGATTTTCCAGTACAATTAAAGGTGAAATGTAAGTACTAAGTATGAGGCAAACTCATCTATCAAGCTCTCTGCCTTTGGGTACAAAAGGATAAAAATAGTATTCTGGAAAATTAACATGGAACTTATTCCTCAGAGTGATACAGACTGGATTTTTAAATTTTTCATATTAGATTAAATATAAAGATATAATCTATGACTGGCTAGGTTTATTTTAATTGTGATTTACCTGCAGTGCGTCCTTGTCAAACTGCAGGATCCAGTCTGTCTGTGAGTACGGGCCATTAAACAGACCATGTACATTCACAAGACAGAAAAGCAGATTAAAGAATGAGGAGTATTGGTCATCTGTTGGACAGATATAACTTCCTGCTGCTTATTCTGCCTCAGAATTAATTTAGCACTCTAAGAATACTTTGGACAATCTAAACATTCTGTGTATACAGTTTGCAGACTATGTAAGTCTAGACCTGATTAACTCGAATTTACCACTTTGGGTATAAATCCCAACTTCCTAAGGGAGGAAAAATAATTTTGGCTTACGTTTTTTTTATCTTTAATAATACTCATGTAATATTAATACTGCTTTCCTTTTAAACTGTTCACATTATTGGAAAGTCACACTTGGCTCAATATAAAACTGAAATTATAAGAAATACAGATAATATAAAATTATGGTCTATTTCAATAAAAAATAGGTGTAATAAATAGCCCAAGTATTCAAATTTCAACATGTAATTAAAAGTATACCTTCCTTTGTTGTGGTTCATCCAAAGTATGGGGTATAGCAAAATGGATATTTTATAAATAAATGCAGTATAGCAGTGCTCGTTAAAAAAATGCCATACAATTGACCCAAATTAGCTATCCTTACAAACACACATGCTATAAATTGTATTTGTCCTTTGCAAAACATTTGAGACAATCTGAAATCATGCTATTTTCTTATTTTCAGTAGTTAATGAATGGAGATATTTTGTTTTGGAGATGCTGTATGTTAAATTTGACCATGAGTAATAACCAAAATACTAAAGTAGTCTATCACCAAATATTTTCAAAGATAAAAATATTTGTGCCATTACAATCATTAGTTTAGTCCATTTGCATTAGAAATCCTTCCTTCGGTAAGACCATACCTTTGCAATGTAATCCACAAGTATTCAGTTTCTGAGATGACTCTTGAATTTCAGATGGGCAATAGGAAATGCATAACAAAACAGACCAAGTACTGAATTATAACTTTGATGAAGTAATAAAAGAGTCTTATGACATATTTTCAACTTTTTTAACTTGGATCGGAAGGACCATTTGGTTAATACTTCTTTTTTTTTAATGATATGTTAATTTAACTCTTTTTTCTGTCTAAAGTCTATCCATTTAGTGGTTTAAAAAATGGTGGATTGGAAAGTTGTAATAATCCCAAGTAGAACAGGTATTATGCCCTCATCATGGTGAAAAAGTTGTTCTTTTTAGAGTTAAATAATAGTTCTGTTTGTGGCCAGTTTCTTTGACAACTCTAAATATCCAGGATGAGTGCTACTTGTAAAAGTAGGTTGATCTATAAAATATACATGTTTAGTTAATCTAAATATATTGAAAATGGGACACTATATCCTGTAAGCTCTTATAAGCATTTCCACTTATACAGTAGGTACTTAATAAAAATTCATTGAATTTAAGGGTGTTAAGTGATACTCTCTCTTCACTCTAATTCAACAGTGTTTAAATAATTGTACAATCTTCCATTTTGGGGGCATGAAGCCCTGAAAAGACATTCTAAGAGTTTGCATTGGGCTGATACAATAATCTTAAACATGTTAAAAATAAATTTCTGATAGTTTGACCTGCAGAGTTGTTAGTAGAAGAATGTAAGAATTAAATACTCTTTGACTTTGGATTATTTTTTATGGAAATGAATGATGTAACCCTACGTGACTGTCATTAGGTTTCTTTATTTTGAATTGATAGCAAAATTCTGTGTTGATTTGAAATAATTCTTTAATGATCTTTCTCTTTTCCCCTTAATTTTCTATCATGAGATTATTGACAAAGATGATTCATATTCCTATAGTTTGCCCCTTTCTTAAGGGATAGGATGGTCCATAATTTGCATTGCTGTATTTTAAAATTTTCACAGGATTAAGCTTTCATAAAACTATTAGAAGAATTCCTTAAACTTTTTTTTTTTCAACCAGATTATGCCAAGTGTTGTTTATTTCCCAAAGAGGAAAAGTTTTACTTTGTGGCATTAGGAAATACTTAGAGATCTTATTTACAGAATTTTATTATTGTTCAGGAATTTAAAATGAAGACTAAATATAACACACCTTACGTTTTATGATGACACATACTTTTTAAACTGCTTTCATATACATGATTTTATTTGACCTCAAACTAGTCTGAGAAGGAGACACTCTGAGAAGACCATCATTATTTTGGTAGTTAAGCCAGCTTTAGCTCAAAGGAGTCACTTGACTTGCCAGAGACCAGGTAGCTAATAAGCTGCAAGCCAGG